AAATAACCACAAATTGTTAAATTAATTCTAGACAAACATCTGCATTGATCGATTCTCTTCGTCGACTTTCTCTTTCGTTAATAATTCAGCTGCAAAACCTTTCCCTTTTGTATTTAACGTTTTGATGTGTTCTGTTGATGTGTTTAATGAAAGACGAAACTATCAAAGTCAAGCGCTCTTTCACTCGTCCGCTTCACCGAAGCTTGAAAGAAAATTCAATGAAGCGACGGGAGAAAGAGAGACAAGCGATTGAAAATTTGTTTATAGAGGCCGACTGAGGTTCTAGAATACTGCGAAGCTGTTCGACTTACTAGAAAGCTAGTAAAAACACTAGAGGGAGGGTCTCCTAAAATTGCTAAAAATATGCTACGTCATATCAAGCTGCATTAGGTCCTAAGTAACATTGATCGATTATCTTCGTCGACTTTCTCTTTCGTTAAGGTTCAATTTACTTTAATGCTTTTGGAAAATTTCAAAAGTAGTTTTTTCCGACGCATTATTTCAGATTGCAAAAAGCTAGTACTATTCGATTTCTTTAGATATTTTACACAAAATGATGCGAGCTTTTTGCAATCTAAAATAATACGTCGAAAAAAACTGCCTTTGATTTTTTTACAAAATCATCAAAGTAAATTGAACCTTAATAACCTGAGCACATAACCGTTTTTTATCGATCGGTGTGCTGAAAATATCTGGAAATGTGTTTACATGGCCGTGGGAATACAAAGAGAAAGTCAACGAAGGGAATCTGTCAATGTTACTTAGGATCTAATGCAATGTTCAGCTTGATGTAAGTACGACTCTACACTCAAAAAATTTCACACGTTTGATCGAAGTGTTTAAACACTTGATTTTTTAAATGCAGAATCACATTTACTTTAAGTGTATTTCACCTTGGTTCAATGTGTTATACGTTAATTTATAGTGTTTATAACTTTGAAATGTTGAAATTTTTTCACTATCTATTCAAGTGAATCACGCTACTGTTCAAAATAGATGGATTTAAAGTGTTTTGCATTTCAATACGATGTGAATTGCTTGCTCAGAAAGGTAAACATCGAAAACAAGAGTTGTGACTTTTTCCTATCAACCCGCCTCATATATGACACTCAAAAAATAAATCACATTTCCGATGGAAAATATCAATTAGAATTTCACATAACATTCATGTGATCTCATAATTGGGAATCGCACCACGAAATCACATGAACCTTATGTGTCCAATGAAGTTCATGTGATTTATCACATAGAATTCATGTGATCATATGAATGTTATGTGAATTTCAGGTAAAAATCATTAATTTTGTTATTGGAAAAATATCACGTGCGTTCCCAATGGAAACTATATGAAAACTTTTTTCAGTGGAGAACAACCGTGGCACAGTGAGATCGAACGAAGACTCTGGCAGCAGCACACCCCAACAGTTCATAATCGAATCCAAAATCAGACCCATTCAAAAGATATGTGAAAGCTCTGGCCTCTGGCAGTTTTGTTTATATACAATTTGTCGATTCATTTTTAGAGCCGGTAAAGTAGAAGTCGATAAAGAAGAATATTGAACTATGGTGTGCAAAGCTATTGATATCACCATATGAGGCACATAGAATCCAAGTGTGTCACAATTCAAATCCATAGTGTTCAGGCATGGTTCATAGCCTTAGATTCACACATGAAATGGATGTGTTTCACAATAAGCGCAAAATGAAGTGTGAGACACATGATGATGGCGTGTGGAATTTTTTGAGTGTATATAGAAGATCGTAGTATACACTCAAAATAATTTTCACGTCAATGCTACGTGAAAACATACATAGATTTTTTCCATCGCACTTTTCACGTAAGAGTTACGTGATTCATACATGGAAACACTCATTCCAGTGAGCGAGATGGTTACTGGATTATCACGTAGAAGCTACGTGATTCTGTCGATGGAATTTATAATCATCTCCAATGATTTTAATTTCGTAGTAAATAAAATGTATCATTGATTTCGCATTACAAATGATTCTATAGTATTAATTGATTCAAATATATCTTTGTTGCGGTCAATATATACACAGGGGGAACATAAATTCGAACGGGACAAGTAACGGAAACTTGGTTACAATCATATGATGTAAAAGAGTTTAACTCGCATTCATACTCATGGTACTTCTTGCCGGTATACTGAAACAAAAAAAAAAACAATAACTTTTAATTCTATACATAATTTGTTTAGTATCATACTTACAACACGAAATTGTTCCACGCAAATAAATAGGTAACAAAATTATCTAGATTTTCACTGGAATATAAACATGCACATTGCAATGCCACCATATTTATTGTGACTAACTCATTCATTTTTTCAGATGTGAAAATCACTTATAGGGTTTACGTGAAATGCATTTAAAATTTCTGTATGTGCAAATCACGTACGTTTCATAAAAAAAAAACTACCGACTTTCAAAGGAATTTCCGTTGATGCATATGTGGAAAACTCTACTTGTGTCACGTAAAATTGACAGAAGCGGAAATAGAGTGACTCTATGTGATTTTTCACGTAACAATAACGTGTGAATTATTTTGAGAGTAGAGATTTTATCGAATTACAAGACAACTTTACAACGATTGCGATTATGATTGTGATTGTGTAGTTTAGAAGGGGGTCAAGGGCCAGGTCTCCGATGCTTTTAGGCTTCGTACATGCTATGTCAGTAGACAAGGGGATGCTGTGATGCCAATCGTTACCAGCAGGTTAAATTAAAACAGGCCGAGCCACAGTGACATCACCGATAAGCTGGGTTTATACAAGGCAAGTAAATTGATCAAAATTAGTAAGAAATTACCTGACTGTCTATGATGCCTGATTTTACCGTGTTGTTTTTGTTGGCGCTCTTGAGGACGCCGCCCTCTATAGGTCCGACGATGAGTCCGAAGAAAATCCCAGCATGGCGTTTATCTCCTAATCAGAAAATCCCTCGAATACCGATAGGTAAAGGTCATCACTGCTGATATCGTTTGATACTGTTCCATCTACATTTTGTTGTTTCTTTTGTTGTTCTAAAAATATACAAGCAGAATCGCCAATCGGTCCCAAAAAAACTCAAAACAAGTGTAGAATCTGCGTGGTGATGCTTTCCAAAAGATTGCAGACCCATAATAATAACGCATATATAATAAAAAAAGGATTGAAATAAAGAGACGATTATTTAATACTAATTTCAATACCAACTTTATAATTGAAATTATGCAAATGTAATTGAATATGTAACGTGCATTACAGGACAATAAAATTAACATATAAATACGAGATTGCTTACGAATTAAAATTTAATATGCTATTACTAGGTAGACGATTCAAATGCACCTTTGGTCCATGCCACCTCTGGCAACACTAATGTGTATCTTTCCTGTTTGGGTAAAGTTCCAGATAAGCTCTGAGCTGATAAGTTAGTTTTCAAGTTCCTCAAGGTTTTGCCAATGCTAAAGGACAAAAAACTTTACAACGCATGCGAATGCTAATTTTAAGATCGAAAAGCAAGCGAGAAAATAAGTAGCTTTTCTTTTTTGCTTTCAAACGTCCTTTGAAGCAATCCTCTGCCAAGAAGGAGGGTTGCTGAAGCCACCACCATTAGAGGTGTCAGCACTGTAACGGCATGTGGCATGTGTCTCCAGTGCGATGCCTAGCCCCTTTATCATTATCATGAGCTGACATCTACTACTAGACCTGAAAAAAGAACTGGCATCACCGATAAGTTAGAAATGTGGTGGCTTGCTCAACGCTTCAGTGGCGCCACCATGACAAATGTGAGCATATTCCCCACTAAAACCTTATTTGCGAAGAATGTGATTGTGAGAGTTATGTCTGTTTGTCTGTGGTTAAGATAAATAATTAAGATTTCTAAGCCTAGATCAGTGAATTAATTAATTAATTTAACTTTATTAGGAAGGCTTTCAGCCTTGGGCTGGTTCGCCCCCACGTCAGATCAGTGAAGTAATTAATAGCGAATTCGTTTATTTTTCAGTTCCAACCTAGATCGGGTATCAAGATTGGGTCTGCTTGTTTTTTTCCAAACGCCAGTTTGATTGGTTGTTTTTAAAATCTAAAATTTAAATCGCATACACTCAAAAAAGTGTACATGTCTGATCGAAGTGTTTAAACACTTGATTTTTCATATGCACAATCACATTTATTTTAATTGTATTTCACCATGGTTACATGTGTTCTACACGTTGATTTCTAGTGTCTTAAATTTTGAAATGTTGATAATCTTTATCTATCAATTCAAGTGTATTGCACATTGAATCACACTACTGTTCAAAACAGATGGATTTGAAGTGTTTTGCATTTCAATGCTATGTGCATTGCTTGTTCTGCAAGGTAAACATCGAACACATGAGTTGTGACTTCATCCTTATCAACCAGCCTCATAATATATGAGAACAACCGTGGCCTAGTGAGATCGTACGTAGACAAAGGCAGCAGCACATCCCAATAGTACAGGATCAATTCCCAAATCAGACCCATTTAAAAAGGCATGTGTATACGATGATGATGGTTCGATTCCGAAGTTGCCGAGTATGTGCATAGAAATAGAATTTTGAAGTTCTGTTGAGACAATGCGCTGCGAAACGATATCGTTACAAATTAAACCATTGCATATTCAAGACGCTCCATTAATGTTGGTACGTTTATAAGCATGCATCTGCTATGCATGCTATCGTGGTAAGAAAAGACGTTAGCTGCTAGTTGTATTTTATTCGCTCCCTGCGTCGCACCGAGAGTGCGCTCATTGTGTGGATCGCTTTCTCAAAGATAAGATGGAAAGAGTTTGCAAAGCAAATGGGAGAACCACACACTCTTAATCGATAGCTGTGCTATGCATGCACAAAGTTGCTTTGCAAACGCTCTGAGGCGCTTTCCAGCCTTGCTTCGAGGGGATGTGCGTGGGAAAATTTGCGGGGCGGCTCACCCTACTCACACTATATTTTCAACACTATCACATCTCTTTCACAGAATCGAAATACCCGAATCTCTGCGACCTGTGCCAAAATTCAAACCAGTGTACGTACGACACATCGACCACATCGAACCACCGTGCAGCGCTGAATTGCCTCCGGTCCGGTGGAGACGTCACCTACGTATCCCAACAGGACGCGATCGAGTTCTTCGATGCCAACAATGACATTGTCAACGATTATGGTTTCCTGTGTCCCAATGGAACCATTGAGCCAATAGCCGGAAACAACAGCCCATGCTCTTGGCTCACCCAGCCTTGGCCGGTGGTGATATCTACTGCTAACCGGGCGGTTGAAATTTCCTCTCGAATTGACCGTTGGTTGAGAGGTGTAACCGGTTCGGCATGGGAACAGGCTATCCAGGAAATCATCAATCATGACAGTCGCACAGCCATTTCGGTTGGATCGATTCAAGCCCCGGTGGACTACCTTCGTCCGTATCGTCAACTGCCGATTCCGTCGGATCTGTGCCAAACTACTTCCCGTTGGTGTACGACGTCACCGGAGGAGAAGGACAAGTGCGACGTCCTGAGGACGGCTGCCCTCACGAGTGGAATTTTCCCCACGATAGAGTGTATTGATCCCACCACTAGTCGGATGACCTGTTTGAATGAAATTGCCAACAACCGAGCCGATTTCACCGGAATCGATTCGAACTATGGATATCTTGCGAGGCAGTGAGTATCGGATGGGTATGGGTGGCGAAAATTGTATAGTAACTGGTGGGTTTATTTTCAGTCCATTCAACCTAACGGCGGCGATGTTCCAGGAAACGGAAAAGGAAAAGTACTCTTCGGTGGTGGTGCTGGTTCGCGCCGAAAGTCGGTTTACTCGTTTTGAAAACCTACGTAGTGCGAGGGCATGTATTCCAGAGTTTGGAGGAATTGGTAGGCAGGATCATAGGTTCTAAAGATATTCGGACACTTACAATTTCTATTTGTATTGCAGCATCTATTGCGTTCATCAACGTGGGTAAAACTCGTGGCATCTTTGATCCGCATGAATGTGACTACGGACGTTTGTTGGGAAATTTCTTCAGTGACTCGTGTGCTCCAGGTTCTCGTGACAGTCTGCATGATCCTCGAGGGGAGAATCCGGAATCGCTTTGTGCGTTGTGCCATACTCCCGCCAGGCCACAAGATCCAGTGCCACTGGCCGCCAGAGATGGCGGTGACGAGGAAGGAGAAGAAGATTCGACCGATGTACCGGATGATGTGGAAGATCAACCAACAGGAATTCAGGGCAAGAATGAAATTGTAGTGACGGTTGATAGGAACGTAAACTGCGCGGCTAATGTTAATAATCCCTTCTACGGAACCCGTGGGGCTTTGAACTGTCTTGCCACTCAGGGAGAAGTGGCCATTGTAGAAATTCAGAACCTGGCAGAGCATGCTCGAGCTTTGAACATCAATCCAAACGAATATCGAATTCTTTGCAGAAACGGATCTTTGGCTGCCTATACCGGATTCCAGGTAGATGAAGACTGCTACCTTACCACGATCGTCGACGGTGAAATTGTCGTCAGGCGTCAATCGTCCAAGACAGCCGGCATTATTAACGCCCTAAGCTCGTTGGATGTTTATTTGCAAAACGATCCGGACTTCCGCATGTACAACATCTTCGGAGGTATGAAGAATCTACTGTTTGAAGATTCGGCCTTGGGACTGGTCTCTCCACAACACGCCGAACTCGGTCATGCTGTTCAAAACTACATTCGTCTGTTCGAGAACATTGAAGACTGCACCAGTGCAGGCATCAGCACTACGACCGTAGATCCTAATAATGGTGCCATTTTTACCATCAATATTTTTATGGCAATCCTGTTCACACTGTACAACATCATTCGAGGATAAGTCACGCATCAGGGTAGGTAGTTCTTTCACGAATGATCACACAGCATTTTTTTTTTTCAAAATTCATCTAACTGTACACAATTGTATTATTTTTAAAGAGAAGAGCGTGAATAAACTTAATACGATCCTTAAACCGCTGTTTGTTATGAATTCAAGAGATTGACCGTTATGTTAAGTACGTTGAAGAGATCATCATCTTCGCAGCGCTCCAGCAAGGAACGCTGTTTGAGCAAAGCGTTCAGTCTTCTCGGGATGGGGCTACTCTTAATGGCACTTTTGCCTTTGTTGTTGTTGGCAATTATCTTCCAAATGGAACTTACCACAAGCAGCTGCTCGGCCGGATCCGTTTCGTCCAGGACGGATTTTAGAGCGTACATGTAATCCTGGGAGGCAAGCAGCGCCGGTCGATTGTTGTTGACGAACGACATGTTGCGCATGATCTCCAGTGATAGACGACGGAGCTCGGGAGTTGACTTCCGGATGAACGCTCCCAGCACTGTTAGATGTCTGATGGTGGAAAATTAATGAGTCCAACTCATGTGAATAGAAGGTTTTAAACTTACTTGACTTCGGTGACATCACTGTGCCTCGTGTAGATCTCCCAAAACTGCAACCATAGTTTGGTCACCGTGACCCACGGTTTCTGCAACTTCGTAACGGCCGGGTGCAATTTGCTCATGTTGTCCAGCACATTGAACTTGGTGATCATCACTCGACCCTCGTGACAGGAACAACAATTCATCAGCACCCTCAAACAGAGACCCAACAGAGTGATTTCGCTGTTCGGTCCCTTCACCTTTCCTGTTTCGGCTGTTACCGCTGCAATGGTAAGTTTCAGAATTGAATGCGGATGTCCTGCATAGGGAATGGATAGGCTCTTGCAAACCACGATCGAATTTTCTGTGAGGCAAACCAATGCCTTCATGAAGGCAGCTTCCAACTCACGATTGCTCTTGATCCACGGCCAAAACTGCAGGAACAATCGGCAGATGTAGTTGATATTAGCCTGGTGCACCAGAATGTCCCGAACGAACCACGCCGAAAGAATGCCGGCTATGAACGACAGTTCCTCCACGACCGGGGCCTTTCGACCTTCACCGAACTTTTTAACAAAGTCTTGATAGTTGATCCCGATGCCACTGTAGATAGCTTCCAAGCGATCGAGCAGCATTTCGAGAAACTTTCTCGTTCTGGCTACTTTTCGTGCCTTTTCCGATTGATGCAACATCACTTGGATCGCGGAGAAGAGCGTCCTCTTTTGGAACGTGGAAAGCAAGGCACCATTTTCGGGTTTATCCTTCAAGCAAGAAATTTGAAATTGTTCCATCAGGGCGGCAAAGATACATTCGCTGCCGGTTTGGGGAGTGTGCGAATCGTCCGGTTTCACAGGGGCTGTGAGACGTTTTCTTACTCGATTGGGGTCGTGGTTTTCTTGATCCTCATCCGAGGAGAAACCGTCGGATAGGTGGCGCAACCGTTGGATTGATTTCACAGGTAGGGTATCCGCTGCAGCAGTGGATTGTTGGGAATGGTTTGCGGCATTCGCGACCGGGACAGTCTCCAGTAAACCTAGGAACGATTGGAATTCACAGACCGAGGCGGCACTGGAGTTTGAAGTCACAACTAGCAATGTCAGAAAGCGGAGGCATGCTATTTGGTAGTCTGAAAGGAATTGGGTCAGTTTCTTTTGCAAACACCGAGCAGATCATTCATTACCTTTCTGTTTGTGATTGGAAATCCCTCGAATGAGCAGCCGTATTAAAGGTTCCAATTTCAGCTCCGATAGTACACCAGTAATGAGCTGATTGCCAACCTTTTGGACGACCATTGCATTCAGGAGCTGCATAATGTTCCCGGTGACTTCACGGAACACTTTTTCATCGTAATTTTGATATAGGTCGGCATTCAGTAGATAAATCACACCACCAATTACCGCCTGATAGGGGGAAATGAGTTCGCAGATTTCTTCCTTTTTATGCTTTAGGCAGCGCATCATTAGATTGCACACTTCCGACACCATCAGCAGAGCGGATCTTTCCGGATGCAAAGGAACGTTTGAGACGCAGCTGAAAGATCAAACGAATCGTTAGGTGTGATCGTAACAGTTCAAGAAAAAGAAAAAACAACTTACTTCATCAACCGCTGCAGACAGCATTTTTCAGTTAAGTGATCAATCAGTTCCGGTACTAGGTCCACCAGACAGGAGAAAATCATACTGTAGCTTTTGACCACATCACAGTTGACCATCTGGATCCCGTCGAACTCTCCAACTGCCATTTCATCTCGGGTGGTAAAGTTCTGAAGTGACTCCAACGCCTGTTCGAAGAATCGATGTTTCCTCAGCACGGTAAACACCGTTTCCAGGGCATCCGCATCGCTTAGATGGTTGCTAACTTTATCACAAGGAATCACGTACTTATGCAGGGGACCATCCTTATCGCCCTTATGGCTCAGCAAATTTATTAACAGACCAGCTGCAGATTCCTTAACCAAACTGGCTTCCTCCGGATCGAGGATCGTGTTGATGCAGCACGCATGGATTCCGCCGGGTAAGTACGCGCATTCTTTGATGATCGAGTGAGCCCCAGACAGAAATTTGGCCACCTTTGCTAGCACGTTCCAAGCACATGATCGGATCAGAATACTGGTATGGCTGCATTGCATGGCTATCACCTTGAAGTGCTTTGTTTTCAGATGAACTTCTCGCATTTGGTCCAACAGCAGCGATATGATGATCAAGCAATTCTTGATGATCGTCGAACCCGAATAGGTGATCATTCCGATCCGGGTGATATACGAACACAGTTTGTTGATCACGTGATTGAGGAATTTACTCTCGAATTCGATCAAAGCGCTATGAACGATCACCCTGGCCAAACTGATCAGTGAAATCATTTTGCCAATGTTGCATTTCTGCAGATCACTGTCCAAGCGGCTTGTAATGATTTCGAAAAGTCTGTTCAACAAATTGAAGTTGTGCTCCCGTTTGACCTTCATTTGAAAACCTTCTGCATTGATTAGCAGACTCGTAACGTTTGGATTTTCACAAGCCAGAGCCCCCTGCAGTACTATCTGTATGAAATCGACATTCTTCATGAACAGCTCCTCTGAACAGGTTTCCGATTTGAGCAACTGGATGAATATGCTCGTTTGTTCGAACAGCAAAGACACGATCCAAACTAACACATTTTCGTATCCAATTTGAATCAAATCTCCCAGCAGATTGAACACGTCGATCAACAACTGCTCATCGGCTGGAGTATTCGGAGGCGTTAGAACGAACTTTTTCAGATGCTTCACGATTGAGTTATGTAAAATTTGCTCCTTCATAGGCAATATCAAGTTACTTTCCAGTCCCGCTAGCCCAATGGATACCTCGGCATGGGAAGCAGCTGCAGCGATTGCTTTCAAACTGTTACGGAAGATTTCATCCGTTTGAGATGTTCGGATCATGTTCAGGTCCTGCTTGGCGAGGTGTAACGCTCGATCGAACTCCAGCGAGCTGTCATCTAAAACGATCACCTCTTCGTCCTCGTCAGTTCGCTTCGGAGAGATCAGATGAGGTGGAAGCAGATTGTAGTCCACAATGAGGGCACCTTCTTTCCCCGGCGATTGCCGGGATCGCTTAGCGTTGATCAGAACATTTTCGAAAGCATCGAACCACTGACACGCAAACGCTAGCCGAAGATACTGCCAAGCAACCTGACGATAGCTGTGCAAATAAACGGAGCTCTCTGTCGTTTGATTCATACTTTCGCCACCGCTCGTCTCCAATCTTCGCATCCGCGAAGTCGCACATTCGATTCCACACGGCCCACTCCGTCGTAGGATGCTATTTCCCTCAACTGCTCCCATCCCAGAACGATCTTCTCCTTCAACATCAACGAAAATCTCCTCCAGATAACTCAACTCGTTAAACGGACTGCATTTCCAGTGGTACTCACAGACAAATGGAATCCTGTAGTTCTGACAAATCACCGGAAGCGACACTGCTTTCCCGCTTCCCAAGGTATACTCACTGAACAGCAACAGGAACAGAAGCGAACAGCAATCCGGCTTGAAGATCGGAAAATGATGAAAGCTCAACAAGGCTCGCACGATCAGGTAGTACACATTCACATCATCCGCAAGGAAGCGCCTAAACTCCGGAATGGTAAAACACAGTTTCGTAAGAATGCCTATTGCCGGCACGGCGCTATCCGGGTAGTCGAGAAAATGCTGCTCCCGCAAGGCATTATCCAGCACTTGTAGCACAAACGCCCACCCGTTCGCCTTGTGGATGATCTCGCAGAGAATCGGATCTTCAGCCATGGCATTCAGCTGAATGAGTGCACTTCGGCGGATCCCGGGATCGCAGTTGTCCTGCTCCAGCGTATCCAACAGAGGCTTCACCGCACTCACTTCAAACACATCCGTCGACAGGTGCTTGGCCACATCGTACCTGGATTTCGTCAAACAGATTCCATTGGATAAGGTATCTCGGATGTGTTCGATGTTGGGCGAGTACTGGTGCGCGTTGGGTGCGATGCTCATTAGGAACATCACCCTGGTTAGGGCTTCCTCGCGAACTTCTGGATCATCCTGGAAGAGGTAGCGCAGATTTCCTCGGAGTAAATCGACCGGCGAGAGGCGGGAGTCGGGGTGCAACAGGACGAAGATGGCTCGTGAGAGTGTCGATTGTATTTTGATGATGCCGATCGTTTGGAGCAGCGGAAGGACCGGAGCGATTATGTCCAGAAGATCGGTCCATCGGTCCAACAGGAAGGCGCGGGAATTCAGTACGAACAGGAGAATGGTTTCCGCTTGCTGTTGAATCTGAAATGGACATTTAATGCATGATAAGATAGATTATTACTTTTTTCCCGATTTTACTAAATCGTTTTTTTAAGAATCAGACATTCCTAATAATATATTTAAGATTATTCAGACATCACTGGTGCAAAATTGATATTGTAGGTGCCACACTCAGGCTTATTCTGAGAGGCGTGTGAGGTGACTCTTCATTTGATTTGCATGGAGACTCACTGAGGCAAAAGAACGACAGTGAGCATGCATAAGGGCGTATACGCTATGATCGATTTTCTTCTTCGATTTCTATTTCAATTGCTACCGCTAAGGGAAACAATTTTCTAGAATTTGTTTAATGCAGAGTTGTAGCAGGTTGTATTGGCTATCAAAAGCAACAGCAAACGCACCTACCGTATGCGTGATAATGTTTGCACCATTGAGCAATGTCAAAATTAAAAAAATTCTCAAAAATTTCGTTTTTGAGTTTTTTATTTATTCAAAGGGGGGATGTTTCTCAGAGTCTTAAACTATGTTAATCATCGATCGAGTTTCCACTTGCTGCAATTACGACCACCACACGCTTCCAGAACACGGCTGGTTCTAATGACGTAGTCTGGATCCATTTCTCTCCAGATACGCGTCAATGTTTGTCTGAGACTTGCTGTACTCGGGTGGCGTTTAGAACAGGGCTTGACCTTCATGACGCGCCATATTGAGTAATCCAGCGGATTAAGATCGGGGCTAGATGGCGGCCACATATCCTTCGCCCAGAACGGAAGATGTTCCTGCAACCACTTCTGAGTGCGCTTCGAACACTATGGTCTTTGATCCACGGAAGAACATACTTAATTAAAATCCCGATGTAGACTTCCGTGTTGACCTTGTCGCCTTCTGGAATGAACACCGGGTCCATTTGTTTTGCCATCGGAAGCCAACAATCCAAACACCATAACGCTAGCAGGATGCTTGGTCAGATAAACATTCTTGTGCTCGTCGGCCACGTCTTTTACTGGAAGAGAAATAATATACCGGTCGGTTCTGGAATTTGATATGGGATCGACGTTAAAAAATGTTCTCGTCGGTGAATAGGATTACCGGATTTTTTCGCTTAAGAAAGTTCAAGATTTTCTTGCATCGTTCTACTCGTAGCTCCCGGATGCGGTTGGTAATCATGTGAGTTTTTTTTCCGTGCCCTCGACTTCACCCCGCAATCTTTCTTTACGATCTTCCGTGCCGTAAAGTCACTGATCCCGTGTTCCTTTGCCATTTTCCTTATTGAACGCACTTGATTCACCCGTATCTTCCTTTTGATAGCAGCGATACCCTCGGAACCCGAGCTGAGCTCGGACGACCTGTGGCCACCTTCGCGGATAGTTGTCCTTTCTTTTCTCGGTCTAAAACCTTTTTGACGGCCCACCGGAACACTCCCACGGCGATTGATATGTCAGTTTTTTTTTTTTTTCTTTGTGTTGTCCTTATTTTGGACGGCTAAGACCGCTCACGGTCCATCTCGCCACTGTGGTTGTCGTGTTTCGTGTTTGGTGGTTTCTTCGTATTGTATCGTCGGTTTCAGTTTATGTTTGGATTTTTGTTCGTTTAATGAAAGCTACAATTTCTTTCAGGTCCGTCTCGTTGTTCTCTTTTAGGATGGTGGTCAGCGGACTGCAGTATTCTAGTACGATATGCTCTGATCTTTCGATGTTGAACTTGGGGCAGTAGTATAGTAGGTGCTGTAGGTCTTCCGTTTCGTCGCACAATTCGCAACTATCGTTTATTTCCCACCCCCACTTGTATCTGCGCTCCTTTGTGTTTGTGTGTCCTGTGCGTATCCGCCCGATGATAGTTTTCTCTGCTGTGTTCAGGTTTAATCCATGGAACCAGATTTTTTCCCCCGGCGTTTCCATTATTTCCAGGTGCCATATTCCTTTCTCCTTGGAAATTTTTCTGTACGATGTTATCCAGTCGTCCCAGATGTCAGCTTTCGCCAGCAGGATGGCATCGGGTAGTGTCAGGGAGTTGTAATTTGTGTGTGGTCCTTGAGTGGCTCGAACCGCTTCTTCATCAGCCTTTTCGTTACCCGGAATCCCTTGGTGGCTGGGAATCCATTGCAGCTTGATCTTGTGGTTCCTGTCTTGTTTCAGCAGTTTGACGATTTCCCACGCCAGGAAGTTTTCATTCTGCTTGCTTCTGTTTCAGATGGTTTGACAGGCTCCCTTGGAGTCGGTAAAAATCACTGCTTTGTGATATTTTTTCTCCTTTGCGAGTTCAATGGCCGAGCGAATAGCCAGTAGTTTGGCGTTGGTGATGGTGTAATTAGGGTTGATTTTCTGCGTCAAAACTTGCTGGTCTGTGTGGTCGTACACCGCCAGTGCCGTTCCCGTCGTCGTTTTGGATGCATCCGTATAGAGGTGGTGAAAGTCTTCATAGTAGAGATTCTTTATTTCCAGGAATTTTAGGTTCCAGAACTGCTGGCTGTAGTTTTCCTTTTTGTTTTGGTGCTCAAACATGTCCTCTTTGATGTTCCTCTCCAGTGTGTAGTCCGAGTACTGCCGTCTATTCAAGAAAGCTATTTCGCTGTCTTTCGGGTTCATTTGGCATATGATGTAGTTGAATTTGACGGCCGTTTCCGTCCAGTAGGATCCGTTTCCCAAGTTGTTCCTGATTGAACGATCGGAGAAAGGCTGTAGCTAATTGGTGTGGTAGGTGCTTTTCAGGAGCTCCTTCAGAGTGAGCAGCTCCCTTCTGATGTCCAGCGGCGTCTGTCCGGTTTCGGCGTGGATCACATGGATTGGTGTGGTTTTTAGGTAACGCATAGCGCTGCGAAGGTACGAGTTGTGTACAGTTTGTAGCTTCTGAAGGTTTGTTTTGGCCGCATTTCCGTATATTTGAGCTCCATACTCTAGTCGGCTGCGGATGATGGCGTTCCCAATCTTGACTAGTGTGTTCGGGTTGGCACTGCTGCTGCGCTTCCCGAGCATCTTTATTATTTTTACTTTTGCGGCTGCTTTGTCTCGGATGTCCTCGATGTGTTTTCTGTGTGTGAGAGTCCTGTCGACTGTATATCCCAAGTATCGATGAGTGTTGTTCAGGTCCACGTTCTCTCGTCCTATCCTGATCCTTACTACGCTGGTGTCTTTTCTCGTGAAAGCGACTGCAGCGCTTTTGGAAACGTTGATTTTGAGTTCCAGTCTGGTGAGCTCAGTTTGGAGCTGGGATAGATAGTTGTTGGCTTTTGTTGCTGCATCTTCTGGACTGCTGCCGGTTGCCACCACCGCAAAGTCATCCGCGAACTGGACGAGTTCACATCCTTCGTGTTCTATCCGGTGCAGACCACTGGTGTAGAGGTTGAAGAGGATGGGTGACAGTGGGCATCCTTGGGGGAGGCCTTCGCTAACCTCTCTGTGAGCGTCTCCTTCGTTTGTTTTGAGGACAAGATGTCGGTTGCTGAGGTAAGTGTGAAGCCAGGAGATGATCTTGTTTGGGATGCTTAAGGTTTTTAGGGTGTTGAGCAGTGTTTGCAGGTTCACGCAGTCGAAAGCCTGTGATAGATCGAGGAATACGACGACGGTGTCCTTCTTTGCCAGCTGGGCGTCCTTCACCTTGTTGACGACGTAGTTGACGCAGCTCTGTGCCGAACGGTGTTTCCGAAAGCCAAACGATCGAGGAGGGTGTAAATTCTCTACTTCTGCTATATCAGCCAGTCTGCTGTTGATCACCGAGTTGATCAGCTTGAGATTGATGTTCATGAGAGCGATGGGTCGGTTCGATCCTGGGTTGAGCGGGTCACCTTTGTTTTTTGGAATTGGCTTTATTTGGGTGGTCCTCCACCTTTCCGGAATTACTTCCGAAACGAAGACTTCGTTGAGCATCTCACATACCTTAACTTGCATGTCTAGCCTGAGGTTCTTCAGGATGCCGTAAGACATGCCGTCTTCTCCTGGGGCCGAGTGGGACTTTTTCTTTTTTAGGGCTTCCAAGATTTCCTCGACCTGGAGCGCCATTTCGTAGCCCTTTAAGTGGGAGGGGGTTACGGATGTGGGTTTCCCAACCGGTTTCAGCTTCCCATCGTAGTAGTATGCGAGGAACTGTACTGCGTCATCCAGCGTGGTTTCCGGTTTTCTGCTTACCGGCTGGGTTAGCGCGGTATCCAAACCCTTGATGATGTTCCACAGCTGTCTGGGGGGAGTGTCCTCGTCAACTGTTTCAGCGAGTTCCTGGCAATAAGCCCGTTTTGCCTTTCGAATGAGCCTCTTGAGGATAGCCCGTGCTTTTTGGAGTTCCAGGTGGTTGGTTATGCTCTTGTTTCGGTTGTAGATTCGGAGCTTCTCTCGTTTGGTCTTATAGCATTCGTTGATGTCCTCGGACCACCAGCGCTTCAGGTAATTTCCTTTTTTATCTTTGATTATGAAGCTGGCTTGTTCTATGTTATCCTCGAATATTGTCTGCATTTCGTCGGGGTTATAGATGTATTGAGGCTTCAACTGGTTGATCAATTCCGCTGCTTTGTCCTTGTTGAACCGTTTCATTTTTCCTAGTGCCACCGGAATATCACTTGCGATTTCGATGACTATCGATAGATGGTTGCTTCCGAATTCTTGTGGGACCACTTCCCAAAAGGCCTTGGTTGCTAGACCGGCGGTTGCCAGAGAAAGGTCGATCGCTATGCTGCTTCTGTTGACCGTGGACATACATGTTGTCGTACCGTCGTTCAGGAGGATAAACTTGGAGGGTTCCAAGATGCTGTTGAGCAGGTTTCCTTTGTAGCAGTTGGTCGCACCGGGGTCCCAGCTTCGATGGTGACTGTTGAAGTCGCCTCCGATAAGAATTTCACCATCCATGTTGTCCAGCTTCTCGAAGAGTTCCAGTATCTTGCTTCTGATTTCAATGAGAGGACTATATCCAGAGGGAACGTATACGGAAACCAGTGTGAGCGGAAAAAACCCCTTGGTTATTCTGACCCCTACAACTTCGACCGGTAGAAGGTCCTCGAACTGTACCGTTTCGTAGTCCAGGGTCTCGTGTACTAGAATTCCGACTCCCCCGTATCCTTGATTTCGCCTGGCAGATTCCAGTCTAAAGTGAGCCAATCTAAAATCTTCTTCCTTCCTGAGCCAAATTTCCTGCAACAGTGCCACGCCCACCGAGTTTTCCGAAAGGAACTGGCTGAGCTCTTCGCGGGTATCGACAGGGCGAAGGCTTTGGACGTTGTGCTGCAAGATTATCAGCTTTTACACTCCACTGTGAAAGCTTGTGTTGGTTCTCGTGGTTTCTCCTTGAAGCGGTTGCCCCTCGATGATTGATTGGGTGTCTTGTCCGATGTCGACGAGTAGTTGGTCCCTGTCCAACTCTGACTCCGCGTATTGTACCCTTAAGCCGATCTTTTGTTGCAGGTCTCTCAGTGCTCCTACCCAGCGTTTGTGTCGCACCTCTGCGAAGAATTGTTGCCGCAGCCACGTGATGAAGCGTTCAAAGTCCGTTGCCTTGAAGGGGTTCTCCTGGCATATGGGACAGGTCGAAGCGAGTTTCCTTAGCCCCCCACGCTCACGTTCCTCGTTGGGTGTGGTGGGTTCCTGCCTTTCCCGACTCATGTCTCGGGAGCGAGAAGACTGTCTTCTCTGGGGCCTAGGTCCTGCGAACGGTCAGTTTGCGACAATTGGACAAATCACGAATTCGCTGCCACTTCGTCATGGTGCAACTGTCAAACTAAGTAAATCATTTTCTTTTATACACAGCCTACTACGGTATGAGCTATTGGCGTTGATGGCGACTCTGTAGCTCTTTACTCCACTGTTAAAATCCATAAGCAAACGCCTTCGTACTATCCTTTCACTCCACGGAAAATTCCTATAAGAAACTGTCAATCTTTGCTAGAAGAGACGATTTTTCAGCGGTGCCGTCAACGCAAATAGGTTACATGCTTGCATGCATGGTGGGTATATAAATGGTGATACAGCTTTGTCACTATATAGGCGAGGAGGTCGCGGGGGGGAATAGTGCGGTTTTACAGCAAATTGTAAACAAACTCGGTCGCTGTCCTATACAAAAATCCAACATGGCTGAATCATAAATTTGACACATTAGAACACCTATATGTAGGCACCTTGCTTGCATGCATGCAAAGAAAACCAAGGCATTTTATGCACAGGTGAAACGGGAACCTTATTTGTACGATGGTGCAAACATTATCACGCATACGGTAGAAACGTTCAATCTAGCGAGTTATTAACAAAAGAGAAAATCGCTTGAGAAAATGAAATGGTTAAAGGCGTACAAGAGCTACCTCATGTTAGCCGAAAATTATTCATGTCACGCCTATGAATTTCATACGTGTTGTTCATAAGTCGAGTCTTATCAAATTCTAAAGTCTATTTGCCTCAGTCCTTCACTGTCACCTAACCTCACTCATATGTTCTAAAATTCCTGCACACGTTGAACTTAATTATTATTACCAGAGTGTTGGCAGAAATTGAGGTTAGGAATTTAGGAGAGTGGTCTCCAGAAATTTATATGAACACCAATGGTTTTTACCTGGGAGGGAGGCCCTAATAAAAATACAATAAACGAACGATAACCCAAGTAGTCGAACTTTTCAATAAATGGTTTGGATGATACCCCGAACACGTCGTTAAGCAAAATTACCATACCATTTTATTTTTTTTTATACGATGCTCCCCTTATTAGGGGAAGCAAATAGCACAAACGGAATTTATGTCATAGCTTGTTCTTCTAGTCATGAAAATTTGTGCCATTGAAATCAAATCAAAATAGGCGTTTGCGTTCCGTGTACGTTTTTTAAGGACAGCCCCTTATGGCATATAGATACATTTTATTGATAAAATTTAAACAATTATTTATTTCAATAAATTTACATCGCATTAAGATGTTAAAAAATTAAAACTTAAAATTTCACATCATTACGTTAAACAATAACCGTCCGGTCGAATTACTCGCTGGCAACGCTCCGGACGCGTTTCCAATAATAGCTTCCGTTCGCTTCATTCACATCATCAGAAGTGCTGTTGGCGATGACTCCCTTCGGTGTACGCATTCCAGCGCGGACATCCATCATTCCTTCCTCAGTCAAAACTTTCAACTCGAAGCACCGTTTCCTAGCGTGTCCCAACCTACCGCAGAAGCCACAGGTCGAATTTGACTGGTCCTTTGTCCGTTTGTTCTTGGTGGTTTTGGTGAGATCTTCGTAGCCCACACTTGCTCTTCCAACTCGAACCACTCCAAGCCTCTCCTTAACCGATTGACCCCTACTCTGCCCTGTCAGCTCCCACGTAGCTATGATCTTCTCCGTTGACGCTAGTGTGAGCTCTTCCTCGCACAGAAGCCGCCGCTGCAGAACCTTGTCGCGAATTCCGATCACTATTCGATCAACGATCGCCGTCTGCTTAAAGTTTCCAAAGCTGCACAGGTCAGCCTGTAATTTGACGGCATCTATGAAATCCTGCACCGCTTCATTCGGCAGTTGGACACGGTTGTGAAACTTGTATCGCTGGATCAAACCGCAATCCTTCCGATCGTACCGGTCCTGGAGCCTTTGCACAATTTCCTCATAAGTAACCAATTTAAGATCCTTGTTCGAACACAATACCTTCAGCTCGCTGAACGCGGTGGAATCTAGCAGTGTGATTAGGTAAGCTTTCTGCATTTCGGGATCGATTACGTCGGTGGCCTCGAAAAAATACCCGAGGCGCTCGACCCAGTTGGTGAACGATGTTCCCCTTTGGTAGCGTTCAAAGATGGCAGTCATTTTTCAAGGTTATGCTTCGATCGTTGATTGAATCTGGCCGCCGAACAATAGAGGAATTAGTTTGCGATCACTATTTTAGCCTAGCATCTAAACTCACCGCGTAAAATCGAAATCGTTTTCTTCGATGGGATTAGAAAGAACTACGTGGATGTCGATTAGGTGTCGCAACAAAATTGATGTACCACCTCAACTCACTGCTAGGTGCAATCTGAACCACAACCTTGACCTGTTATTGTTATTCCATTTCGTATAGGGCAATAAAAGCTTTTGTGGTGATTTATTATTTATTATTGCTTCTATCTATTGAGATACAGATCTAGATCTTCCTATACTGGCGATCGCTCTTAATGCATAAAGGGTGTCTACGATAAAAATGGGCGACACAACATAATTCGCCAAAAATAATTTATTGGATGATTAATTTAAACACATCTTTTTAAGTGATTAATTTAATGTTTACCTAAACTCATAATCAATTATTGCCCACCCCTTCTTCTTCACCCCTTCGACCAGAATCTGTATCATCTGCGGACCGACTATTTTTCGGTTCGGTTAAGTTTTCGTGTAGCCGGACTTGTTCAGGATATCATCCACACCATTTGTTAAATAGTTCAATCATTTGGGTTATCGTTCGGGTGTGGTATTTTTTCTTCATTAGGTGTGTTCTTAATCAAAATCGACCGCCACTTTTCGAGTTGATGCACAGAACCGCAGTTTGAAAAAACGACAACCGGTGTGCTAGAATTTTGGCTTTGGTTCACAAGATCTGAACCATAGAGGTAACTCTAAGACCAGAAAGTCCCGAAGAAACGTGCTCAGCTTTTTGGCTCAGCTCTGGTACTATCTTTGGTCCCAAGCTAATCGATGCACCCCTCGAAACATAGAAAAATACACATAGAATGGGGTACGTTAGGCTAGTCAAATAGTCAGCCAATTTAAAACCGTTAGTTTCCACCGGTTGTATGAACCGTGTGCATGATTCAATTCTATGAAATCAAAACCGGGTTCACCGTTCTTGGTTCAGACCATTGCACTGCTCCCGAGGGGCACGCAATACAAAGAACCGGTGCGTTGTAGTTAAAATGCAATCAAAAGTACTTAAAGTAATTAATGCGTTTTGAAGAAGTACTGACGAAAATTATCTATCCATAATTAATGTAATTTAAAGTATTGAAAATGTAATTAATGTACTTTAATTACAAAATTTCAACTGTAATTAATGGAGTTAAAAAGTAGTTAATGTTCTATATTGTGTAATTAATGTATTTAAAGCAGTAGTTAATGGAATTAATTTAATTACAGCCGTTGCCTGCGTGCCCCTAGACTGTTCCCAAAAAGGTGAGTAAAATGTTTGTGCAAATCGACAGTTGTTCATAAACAATTGTCACAAATTTTGATTGACAATATTGGTAGCGAACGAACGGGAAATCATTTTGAAGTCTGACAAATACCCTTCAATAGACTCCGGAAATCGATGACCGATGCTATCTTGAAATCCAATATGGCGGCTTCCCGGTTATAGGAAAACTGGGAAATACTGTCAAATACCCTTCAATATAGGTATTTCCGGAATCGGGGTGTAGTGATTCCCACTAACTGGCAACACAGTAATGTATGTACGTCATAAACTTTGGATTGGGGAAATATAATAAAAAGTTACTTCCTCGTGTACGCGTGTATTTTCATTCGACTCCTAACATTTTGACGACGATCGGAGAAAACCGGAAGGCTCTATACGTAATGGAGCAAAGATTAAATTCGGTGAACGTGAGTTTACGATTCGGAATAGTGGTTTTACGTTAGAAATAAACCAAAAATAATATTTGGGGTATAACCACAGACAAACAGACATAACACATTGAATATTTCTCAATGTATTTCTCATCGTCGCTAAAACATTACCGCCCTCTGTTAAGTACACTGTGGTGGGTAGTACACTGAACAGATGGCGGTAGTGTGTAAGCGTCAAACTCTACTACAAACGGTACTACCAACTACGATACTTATTAATTGACCGTTAAATGCTTGTTGGATGAAAAACTTGCGAGTGTTATGTCTGTTTGTCTGTGGTATAACCTCAAATCGGCGCCTTTGTGACAAGGACGGCAGACGAGCTGAAAGCAAGACGGAAAACGCATCCGACACTAGGGGTTTTTCGACGAAGGGAAAGATTTCTGTGAAGAGGAGCCAAAACAAACGTGAAGATAAACAGTGTCTCGCACTAGTTGCGTAAAAGAAGATGGAGTACAGCAAATCTAATTTGTTACCTTACCATGCAGGCGTTTACCGATTCCCCTACAGGACGTAGTTGAACAAAAGCTGAATGATCTATTAAAGCAGGATGTAATAGAACTGGCGCCGTTGAATATTACATGGGCATCACCTTTGGTAGTCACGCCGAAAGATGGAGGGAAAAGTGTACGCCTGTGTGTTGACATGCGTATGGCTAACAAAGCTATAATCCCCGAACGACATCCGTTACCAACATTCGACGAAATAATGCCTCATCTAGACGGTTGCAAGTATTTTTCGAAGATTGATCTGGTGAAAGCTTTTCACCTAATCGAATTGGATCCAGGTTCCCGAGAAATAACAACCTTCGTGACTCCGTTCGCATACTACCGTTACAAGCGTCTAATGTTTGGTATGAACTGCTCCGCGGGAAATTGAGCGGATCTTGAAAGGCCTAAAAGGAATTCGAATATTTATCGACGACATTCTTATATATGCGAAGAACATGACGCCATAGTCCAACTAGTTCTAAAGCTGCTTGACGAACATGGATTGACGGTCAACACCAAGAAGTGTGAGTTTGGAAAGAGGTCCGTAAACTTCATGGGTCACACCCTGTCAGAGCAAGGCATACTGCCAATTTATTTTTTTTTTCCTTGATTTGTTTTCCGTCGATCTTGTTTTCCGTGCTGAGCACCAATGCTACCGACGCCAGGGAGGCAGCTCCCACACCTGGACCCTACCTATCGACTCATCAACTCATGAACCGGGGACCAACGTGCATACTGCCAATGAACGATAAGATAAGTGCCATCCATGTCTTTTCGGTATCCGCATGCTTTGTTGGCAAGTTCATTCCAAATCTTTCAGAAATGTCGAGTACGCTACGGCAGATGACAATCAAGGCCGCCAAATTTGAATGGACTGGAGAACGACAACAGTGCTTCAAAAGAATCAAATCTTCTCTAGCTAACCCTAAGCATCTTGGATACTACAGTCCACAGAATCGCACGCTGCGTATGACTGATGCCAGTGGAAATTGGTTAGGAGCCGTCTTGGTGCAGATTATCCACAAAGAACCTCGAGTGATTAGTTACGCAAGCAAAAGCTTAACAAATACGGAGCAAAAATACTCGACGCTAGAGAAAGACGCTTGGGCGACAGAGCGGTTCCAAATGTACCTAACAGGCAGCGTTGCCAGATTGTTTTAAAGCTTAACGGTATCAAAGGTATTAAAAAATCGGTATTTATCGGTATTTACTATTTAATTAATTTTGGATTTTTGCCGTTTCTGAAAGCGAAAATTTTAACGATGGTGACGACTGGGACTTGAGGGGATTTGCTTTGTTTAACGGCTCTCTCAGTCTTAAAATAGTCTTTATTTTTTTTTAAATTTAATGTTTAAATTATTGTTGTCCTCAAGTGGTGATCAAAATTGTGAGAAAGCATTTTTTTTTTCAATTAAATATAATTTAATGGAACCAAAATATGGAAAATTAGCCGCAACAACGACTAAACTATTTGCAATAACGCCAAACAATATTTTCACTTGAAAAAGGCCACAACCCATGGCCGAAATATCGAGCAGATTACATCGTAGTCGTTGCAGTATATTAAGACTTAGAAAGCCGTTAATCAAAGCAACATTTTATCTTTTGTACAATGATCGGAAATTCGGGGAATGTTTGAATGTTTCGGGGAATGTTTGAATTAGCTTCTGAACGAAGCCGAAAAAACATCCAGAGAAAGACCACAAAAGCTCTCCTGGATGAAGTTCAAGGAAAGTTCTAAGAGAAGTTGGAAAAACATCCGGGAAACTTCCAAGACATGAATTGAGAAACTTGTGGCGATAATTTAAATAAACTATCGGAAAAAATCGGCTTTCACATCTAAAGGAAGCCAGAAAAGTTTCGGAAATCGGAAGTAAATTTTCAGAAGTAGCTATTTGCAGGAAAAGCCAGAAGAAACTCGGAAAAATCTTCCAATAGAAGTCGAACAAAAAAAAAACTTTGGCTTTGGCTGGTCAAACTTCCAGAAGAAGATGAAAAAAAGTTTCTTGGAGAAATAATTGAACTTCCTGGAGCAGACGAAAGAAATTTCCTGGAGACGCTGCCAGAAACTTTCTAAGGTAGATTGGAAGAAACATCTGAAGAAAGTCAGAAGCCAGAGCGCTTACGGAACAGTCGAAAGAAACAAGGACATAATTCCGGAAGAAAGAGATTCCTGGGGGATGTTCTAATGATCCAGAAAATTTTCCTGATATTCACAAAACATCCCAGAAGACTCGGCAATTTCCCTGAAGTTTTCGGAGCATTCCTGAAATACACTTAGGAATATTCCATAACTCCTCGAAATTCCTTAAAAGTTTTTGTAATTTTCCTGAAATTAGAGGCTGTTTATGAGTTCTCTGGTTATCCTCGAAGTGCTCGGAGCTTCCCTGATTATAAAAAGACTACCGGAATATCTTTTATCATCTTTGAAGATCTCTGGTTTTTCTTGAAGATTATGAAATCTCTTAAGTGCTCTCACAATTTTCTTGAATTTATTGTAACATCAGCATTGAAGTTCTGTGATCTTCCCATTTTTTATTAATTTTTAAAAGTTATCGACACTGCCATTAAAAAGCATAGAACTTCCCATACAATGTTCTCCCAATGTTCTAATGTTCATGTAACTTCCATTACGTTTCTTAAGTTTGTATGAGCCCTCAGGACAATGCTGAAGTTTTAGAAAATTGCCTGAGTTTCTCGGAACTCCTTTATAATTTCAGCAATTTCATTAATTAATTGATCTGTGCTGGCATTCTCTGAGCTTCACTAAAGTTTATGAAATTAAATTTCCCTGAAGTTCTTGGGACTTGTGAAGTTTTCAAAATATTTTTTATGCTGGAGTTCACTGAACTTTTCTGAGAAATTTCCGGGTTTTCAAGTTTTAACAGAAGTTATT